CCCCTTTAAACCAGACCAGGTTTGAGTCCCAGCTCCTATGAGACCTTGGGCCGCCCCTCTGAGTTCATTTCCTCATCAGTGAAACAGCAACAATACCAGTCTCTGCCTCCCACCAGGGTTGGCAGGATGAAACGGTGCTGTCCAGACCCTGGTCTTTGGCAGGTGTTTAATATACGTTTGTTGCCATTCTTCCAGGGAGGAACACATTCCTAGGAGTGCCCTAACAGGGGCACCAGGCCAGGCCCCATCTCCTCTTCCCTTCTCACCGGCCCCCACGCTCACTCAGATTGGTCGGATGTCAAATGAGTAACTGTTCTAGGGGCTGGGATCCTCCTTGGAAGAGATCCAGAGTCTCATCATTCACAGCCTCCCCTCCCACCCCAGGGCCTTCGCATGTGCCGATCCCACTGCCTGAGACAATCTTTCCTTTCCCATCCCCCTTGCGCCATTACTTCCCAGTCAGGACTCAGCAGGACTCAGCAGAAATATCACTTAGTCCAGGAAAAAAAATTCTGCATCCCACCAGCCAAGACCCCCTGCTCCAAGCTCTCACAGCTCCTGAACTTCTTTTCCGTCAGCTCTTCTCACAGTCTGGAGTAATCTCTGTCCCTGCCACCAGACCGAGACCATGCTGTCTTGTTCACTGCTGTGTCCTTGGTACAAAGGAGATGCTTGATCCACAACTGTCAGCAAAAAGCACAGGTCTCAGTTCCAGATTGTCCAGTCCAATCCCCTGTCCATTACACAGAAGAAACTCTGAGGCCCAGCGGAGGCCAGAGACCTGCCCCACTCCACAGCACTTCTCCTGTTCCGAGTTTGGTCTCTCCCCAAGGCACCCTGAGCTGCCCAGCCTCCTCAGGCCCCTCAGACCCCCCAGGGCTTCACCTGCCACCTCCCCGGATTAATGGTGAGGCAGCTCAAGGAGGAAGCACCGGGCCAAAGCACGTTTAATTTTAATTTAGGAATCAGTTAAGGCTGCAGGCCTGCTCAGCCCCGGGCTGTCAATCAGCCTTCCTCAAGGCTGCATCAATTAGTTTAAAAATATTGAATGTAATTTTGCCTGACACAACATATTGCAGCTACTGCAAAATATAATTTATTTTAGAAGAAGAAATAATTAAACTAATTTGCATGTCAGTCAGCTGAACTGAAAAGCCAAACGGGGAGGGCTGTGGGGGACCCAGTCCTTGGAGGGGGCACCTGCCACTGGCCATTGTGTGAGAGCCGCTTGGGCCCAGGTCAAGCCACAGCTGCCACTGAATGGACAGACGCTCAGGCAGCAGGAGGGTCCCTGATGTTGTATCAGGACAAAGAACTTGGAGTCGGGAGGTTTCGGACCCAGCCCCAGCTCTGCGGCTGACTCACCTAGGGCTGTGAGGAAAACCCTTGCCCCTCCATGAGCCTCAGTTTCCTCATCCAGAAAGTGGGATTAACAAGGCCTTCTTCAAGGGTTATTTCAAAGATCACATGAGGTCATAATAAGAGAGGGTGTTGTGAACTGGAAAATCCTGCACAGGAGGTCAAGCTTATCAACTGATGGATTCCTTGTTTTATCCCAGAAACATTTAAGGTGGCAAAAATAGGATTATTTTCCAATTCTTATAAATTCCATTCTTATAAATGATACTAACTGTGATAGGACGGGTTTGGAGGAAGCCAACCAGGTTGGATCCCCCGCCTCCCAGTCACCCTAGGGTAGTGGTTTACAAACCTTGCTACAGGTTGATCCCCTGGAGCTGTTTAAAAAAAAGCATCCACGAGCCTTGGGTGTCAGTGTTGTTTAAAGGCTTCCCAGGTGATTGTAATGTAGCCATGCTGGCAACACACTGCCACAGTGGCAATGGCAGTGACAATGGGTGCTGACCTGGGGCCAGCCCATGAGCTCTGAGCTTCCAGGCTAGCCCCAAATTCAGGATTTCCTAGAATAAGATCTGTAGATGGCAACTTTGGCAATTTAGGGGTCACTCAACTGCCCCACTGCTCAGGTCTGAGACTCTCACTCATGCCAAGCACACTAGGGTACTTGTGAAATTTTAAAAGAAGAGGTAGGAGAGACCCAGCATAGCCCAAAGCAGAGGTGCTATAATAGGGGTCTCATCTGCAGTGAGACCAGCACTCCAGGAGGGATCACCCACTCAGCAGTCCCTCCTACTCTACCTTCGACATAGGACTCTGTCTCTCCCACCAGCCCCTACACCCCTACCACCCTCCACTGCAGAGGAAAGTGCCCTGCAGGGACACTAGGCCCTGGCCGCCCCCTCTACTCTCCCTCTGCCTCTGCTGGGAGAGAGGCGCCTGTTCCTGGCTGTGGGCCTCACCTCCCTCCTCCCAAAACCACCCGCCGTCTGTCTGTTGAAATTCTCCAGCAACGCACTCTTAAAAATAACGGTTCACCCGGCATTCCCAGTCACGACTCCCATCTCTCGCCCCGGAAAAGCCCCCTCTAATCACTGGAGTGGCAGATCTGGGTGAGCTGAGAAGATAATGTGCCCCTGGCTAAGAGGAACTCCAGAGAGAAGCCGGGGTCTCAGTTAATTAAGAACTCAGCCCCTTCCTTTTCCTGACCGACCCCCCAGGAGGTGGCTGCACTTGCCCTCCTATCTCTGTTTCTCTCTTTATCAACACGTGAGCAGCTGCCATCAGCACACAGCGGACCCCCAATTCACAGCAGGAGGCAATCAACTAGTCCCCACTCCCCGGGAAACTCATGGGGAGCCTGGATGTCTAGAAGCTTTCAGGCTGTCCCTAAGAGAGCTCCCTGCCAGCCCAGCCAGAGATCCCCATCTTCCAAGTCACTGCTTGGAAGTGAGGTATGGTTTCCTCCCTCAGGAGATGTTACTGAGGTTGCTGGCAGGTGGAACATGTCAGTAATGTACATGTGGCCAAGATAGCAGAGGATGGGGCACCAGAGAGCACTGAGAGGTCTGGGCTGGTCGGGGGTTAGAAAGCACCAACAGGGGCCAGGCGCGGTGGCTCACACCTGTAATCCCAGCACTTTGGGAGGCCGAGGCGGGTGGATCACGAGGTCAAGAGATCGAGACCATCCTGATCAACATAGTGAAACCCCGTCTCTACTAAAAATACAAAAACATAGCTGGGCATGGTGGTGCGTGCCTGTAATCCCAGCTACTCAGGAGGCTGAGGCAGGAGAATTGCCTGAACCCAGGAGGCGGAGGTTGCAGTGAGCTGAGATCGTACCATTGCACGCCAGCCTGGGTAACAAGAGCGAAACTCTGTCTCAAAGAAAAAAAAAAGAAAGAAAGCACCAACATTCAGGGCACTGTTCAGACAGGACAGGCTGGGATAAAGTATTCCACATCCTAGAGTTATTTAATGTCATTGCTGATAAGACCCTTTGAGGCTGTCTGTTTATTTACAAATGCTTATACAGCACTTGCTGTGTGTTGTACACACAGTTGTAAGTGCCCTGCAGATATTAACTTCACCCAGCTATTAACCCATTTATGCCTGAGGTTGCAATTTTTTGAATTTTTGCAATCAGACCTTGGCGATGACCTTGAGCAGTAGGATATAAATAACTTCCACATGCTCAGTGTTCCAGTAATGGAACACTAGGCATAAATGGGTCAGTATTAGACCCATTTTGCAGGTGAGAAAATTGAGGCACAGAGAGGTCAAGTGACATGGCTCAGATTACACAGACATAAAGTGGCAGAGCTGGAATCAGAACTACCCAGAATTGCTCATAATCACTATACCCTCTGTTCATTTTCCAGGTGTGGAAACTGATGTCAGAGAAGGCAGGGTCTTACCCAAGACCAAACACTGGGTCAGGGACATAGCCACGCCTGGAATTCAAGCCTCCTGCAGTCTCATTCCTTCCAGGCTTCATTCATTCATTCATTTATTCATTCAGCAAATATTAATGTATTCGAATATGACAGGGACCATGACCTTGAAGACATCCTAACTCGGAGGGGTGAGGACATCATAGTTTTGCTGGCCAAGATCTACCTCCTTGGACCTGCCTGGCGCTTTCAGAATCAGGTCTTGAGAAAAGAGAGGTTTTGGAGTTTAGCTGCCAGCTGACCCATGTCTTGAAAGCATCCCATGTTTTAGTTTCTCCTTTGCAATATGGGGATAGAAATTGTTCCAAACCACAGGATTCTGCAAGGATACTTCAAATAAGTATCTGCTGTGTGCTCTGTGGTGGTGGGGCAGAGGGAGATGGCAGTGGCGATGACAGTGTTGTTGGGGGCCAGGGATGTGATGGTGATATTGGTGATTACGATGGGGTGATAGTGGTAACACGTGGGCTGGTGATGGTGGTTGTGGTGACTTTGGAAGAGATGGTGGTGGTATTGGTGATGATGATAGTGATGGTGATATTGGTGATGGTGATGGGGTTGGTGGTGGTGGTGAGGGTGGTGATGGTGATGGCTTTAGTATTATCTGTGGTAAAGATGATGAGTGTGGCACTAGAGGATGTGGTTCTGGTGGTGGTGGTGCTAATTCTAATGGTGATGGTAGTGATGGTGATGACCTGATGGTGGTGGTAGCGATGGCAATGGTGATGGCAGCAGTGTCAGGATGGTGATGGTGGTACTGATCATTATGTTGGTAGACACACTGATGATAATGCTAATGGTGGTATTGGTAATGGCTTAATGATGGCAATGGTAATAGTAATAGTAGTGGTGACAGCAAAGGTAGCCATCGTGGAGACAGTGATGGTGGTGTTAATGCTGACCGTGGTGATGCTGTTGGTGATGGCAATGGGTGCTACTGGCGATTGTGGTGGTGAGGGTTGTAGTGGTAATACCAATGGTGCCAAGGCTGATGGTAATGGTGGTGATGGTCACAATGATGATTACTCAACTTATGCCCAAATGTTCCCAGTTCTGGTGCTTGTACCAACTTGGTTAACCCACAAATCTCTCAGTGTGACCCCACTGCCCACTGTTGTCCTTGTAGTAGAGAGGCGGTTACCTAGTTCTCACACTTGATGCCTCTCCCCTGCCCTTGTGCTCTCATTACAGACAATCATGCCCAGCTGTCCCGGGCATCCCTAAGGATCCGAATCCTGGATGTGAACGACAATCCCCCAGAACTGGCCACACCCTACGAGGCAGCTGTATGCGAGGATGCCAAGCCAGGCCAGGTACCCCTGTGGGGCTGGGGCTGGGGATTGCCTCCAGGACTGGCCAGTGGCACCCTATACCTGGGCCCAGACTGGTCTCAGCCTCACCACTAGCCCCCTATCCCCTCCTCACCCCTCAGCTTATCCAGACCATCAGCGTGGTGGACAGAGATGAGCCCCAAGGCGGGCACCGCTTCTATTTCCGCCTGGTGCCTGAAGCTCCCAGCAACCCTCATTTCTCTCTGCTTGACATCCAAGGTGAGCCTCCAGATCCTAGGATGCAAGGAGGGAGGGACACAGTCTCCCTGCCCTGTTCCCATATTATAGACAGAGGGATAGAGGCATCCACAGGGCCTGTGTTGGATCTAAGATCACATGGAAAGTCTGGGCCAAGCTGGAGCTGCTACCCAGCCCACTGGCCAAACACAAGCAGGGTGTGGGCTGATGGAGTGGAGGAGGGCATCCCAGAGATGAGAAATGGCAGATGGGAAAACATAGATAGAAATAAATGAGGAGTGATTGTGCCAGAGTCCAGGGTGGAAAGAGCCCCTCTTCTGAGTGAAGACTGAACTAAGCCACATGCACCCCCGCCCTGAAGGTTTTTGGTTTTTTATTTGATTTTTTTTTTTTTTTTTTTGAGACAGGGTCTCCCTCTGTCACCCAGGCTGGAGTGCAGTGGCCTGTTGCCACATCCACCTCCCAGGCACAAGCAATTCTCCTATCTTAGCCTCTCAAGTAGCTGGGACTATAAGCATGTGCCATGATGCCCAGCTAATTTTTGTATTTTTTGTAGAGACGGGATTTTTGCTGTATTGCCCAGACTAGTCTTGTACTCCCAGGCTCAAGCTATCGGCCTGCCTTGGCCTCCCAAAGTGCTAGGATTACAGATGTGAGCCACTGTGCCCAGGCCACGATGCAGTTTAAAAACTGCCTTATTCCACTCACATTCCTCTTTTAGTTTTTGAAATTGTTCTTGAAACAAAGTCTCACTTTGTTACCAGGCATCAGTGCAGTGGTGCAATCATAGCTCACTGCAGCCTTGAACTCCTAGGGTCAAACAGTCCTGCATCAGCCACCCGAGTAGCTGGCACTACAGGTGCACACCATCATACCTGGCTAATTTTTTTATTTTTTGTAGCAATGGGATCTTGCTGCGTTGTCCAGGCTGGTATCGAGCTACTGGGCTCAAACCATCCTCCTACCTTGGCCTCCTAAAGAGCGGGGATTACAGGTGTGAGACACCACGCCAGACCCACTCACATTTCTCTCTGCATCCTCACAGCCAGTGAGGTAGTTTTCTAACCCTTCTCCCCGTTTTGCAGGTGATAGAACTGAAACTCTAAGAGGGAAAGAGCCCTGCCCAGGGTCATAGAGGGCCTCGGTGGTGTGGGTAGGATTCAGTGCACCCCCATCTCAGGTCCAGTGTGCCTCTTGCCTAAGCACAGTACCTGGAAAGCAAACTGCCCCACCCTGCCTGACTCCACTGTAAGATTCCCCTCTTCTGGCTCTCACAAGTTCCTCACGATGTTCACGTTTGAACCTTTAAGGAATAGACTGAGGGAAGGGGCAGTCACCAGACTGGAAATAAGAGACCAGGCTCAGCAAAGGGTGCTCTATATAACCCTAGCAAGCACCTGGTCCTCTCGGGGTTTTTTATGTTGTTATTGGTTTTGTTTTTTGGAGTGTTTTTTGTTTTTTGGTTTTTTTTGAGACGGCCTCTCATTCTGTCACCCAGGCTGGAGTGCAGTGGCTCGATCTCAGCTCACTGCAACCACCACCTCCCCTGGTCAAGAGATTCTCCTGCCTCATTCTCCCGAGTAGCTGGGGTTACAGGCACACCACCATCCCTGGCTAATTTTTGTATTTTTAGTAGAGACAGGGTTTCACCATGTTGGCCAAGCTGGTCTTGAACTCCTGACTTCAGGTGATCCACCTGCCTTGGCTTCCCAAAGTGCTGGGGTGCCTGTTCCTCTCTAAGCCTCAGTTTCATCATCTAGAATGGGATGATAACACCTTCTGCCTTGAGCAGCCAGGTAGCCCCAGTAAGATAAGGGCCACCAAGATATAGTGTTAATACCTAGAAATGTCAATTTCTATATCCAGCAATTATTTATTGAGCAATTATTGAGACAAAAAGCCTCTGTGTCAGGGTCTGCTCTGGATCCTGGCAATCCAATAGCAAACACAACAAAACCTAGTCTATATTCTAGTGAGGTGAGACAAAAATTATACAAATGATGATAAGCGGCTGGGGTGAGGGAATAATACAGTCTCCACAAGGGTCTGGGCTTGACTTTGTTCAACCCTGGGTACCTGGAGCAGGGCTTGGCGCATAGTAGGTGTTTGATAAAATGTGTTTGATGAAACAGTGAAAAGTAAAGCAGGGGCTCAACATGGTGGCTCACATCGGTAATCCCAGCACTTTGGGAGGCTGAGTTGGGGGAGATCACTTGAGGTCAGAAGTTCGAGATCAGCCTGGCCAACATGGTGAAACCCTGTCTCTACTGAAAATACAAAAATTAGTCGGGTGTGGTGGCAACCTGTAATTCCAGCTACTCTGGAGGATGAGGCAGGAGAATCGCTTGAGCCTAGGAGTTTGAGGCTCCATTGAGCATGATTGCACCACTGCACTCCAGCCTGGGAGACAGAGTGTGGCCTTGTCTCAGCCAATCAATAAATACAAATAACTAATGAAAAATAATAAAGGTATTTAACAACCAGTACAGCTCAGCTAGCCAATCAGAAAGGACGCTGGCCAAAACCTGGAGCAGGACCCCAGAAACCCTGCCTCGCCAGGCACTAACTCCTTCATGGCTTGATTGTGTCAAAGTTGGGAGGATGCCAGGGGGAAAGGCTGAGGCAGCAGGGAGGGACTTGGGAGGCTCAGAGTCAACAGCTATTTAAACCTTTTTTGGAAGTATTTCAATATTTTAACAACCGGTACATTCCTGCCTACTCATTATTCCAGTAGTATCCTGAGCTGGTCACAGGAAACACAGCTAGCCTTGGCTCAACTCTGCCAAGTTCACAAGGCTTTCCAACCCCAGGGGCCCAAGATTCTGCCTCAATTGCTTTTGTTTAGCTGGGGGGCCACCAGACCTGCCATCCAGAGTGCCACCTGGTGTAAGCTCCGGGGACAAGGTGGCAGGAGCACGCTGAGGTCACAGCAGCCGTGGAAGTCCTCCTCCTCCAGTCCCTCAGCCCCTTCCCACTACTTGCCAAGCCCCCTCCTCCTCACTGTATAAATATCCTAGGTGACAAACGGCTACCCCAACCCATCTGTTTCTTTGTACAAATGTGTAGCCAGTTTGGAAACGTGATTTATAAATATTGCCTTTGCAGCCAGGGATTGACACTGATGTATGTCAGGCCAGATGGATGGATGCAGCACTGGGCACAGATCCCACCTAGAAGGGTGGGGTAGGGGGCTGGGGTAGCCAGCGGCTTCCCCAGCAGAAACCAGCTGCTACCCAGGAGGGCAGCTTGATACATTCAGGGATGATGCCTGGGGATTCCCCTTCATGAGGTGGAGGAGTGGTGGGGACCAGAGTTCCCAGAACATATGGTCCCATGGCCCGAGACAGCAACCCTGAGACAAACATCCCTGTTCTTGCTTGGCAATCCGTGGCTGAGCCGGAGCCAGCCACTCATTTCTCAAATCTTCCTACTTCTCTGTGCCTCCACTACTACTATTATTGCACACCTAAAACACAGGAGAGCTTCCTGGCTGTTCTTCCACATCAGCTCCTGCATTTTAGATGATAAGCTCCCTCAACTAGAACACAGGCCCAGCAAGGACAGGGACCACATCTGTCTCATCCATTGCAGTATTCCCAGGGGCTGGAATAGTCCTGATAGAGAGATGGTGCTCAATTCTTACTTGCTGTTGAATGAACGGGTTTGTCACTAGATCACTTCTTCGCTTAAAGCCCATCAATCAATGACCTCCTGTTGCTTTTAAGAAAATTACCCCAATTCTGGCCAGGAGTGGTGGCTCACACATGTAATCCCAGCACTTTAGGAGGCCAAGGCAGGCAGATCACTTGAGGCCAGGAGTTTGAGACCAGCCTGGGTAACATGGTGAAACCCAGTCTCTACTAAAAAGTACAAAAATTAGCTGGTCGTGGTGGCAGACGCCTGTAATCCCAGCTATTCCAGAGACTGAGGCAGGAGAATTGCTTGAACCCACAGGCAGAGGTTGCAGTGAGCCGAGATTGCACCTCCGCACTCTAACCTGGGCAACAGAGCTAGATTCTGTCTCAAAAAAAAAAAAAAGAAAGAAAGAAAAGAAAAGAAGTGACCCAAATTCCTTACCACAGCCTCCCAGGCTTCCCACAGTGAGCACCGGCCTCCTCCTCCAGTCTCATCTTGACTCGTCATAGCTATTACCCTCATCCCTCCAGCCACAAAGGCCTGAGTGTCCCTGAATGTGTTATGCTTCTTCCAGCCCCAAGGCCTTTGCATGCACTGTTCCCTCTCCCTACAATCATCGTTCAGGCTCAGGAATCATATCACTTCTCCCAAGAAGCTCTCCCCAACCTCCTCAGCTGGCTCAGGTCCTCTGTTATGTGCTCTTCCTATATTCTTCCTTTGCAGCACTCACCATGGTTTGTAATTGTAGACTAAACTGGGGGTTTATTTGATTAGCACTGTTTCTCACACTGAAATATGAGCTCTGATCCAGGACCAGCCGTGAGCTGGCTTAGCTCTCTATTGTTTTCTCACAGTGAATAGCATGGTGCCTAGCACATAATAGTTAATAAAGATTTGTTGGATGGAGGCCAGGCATGGTGGCCCACACCTGTAATCCCAGCACTTTGGGAGGCCAAGGCAAGAGGAACCCAGGAGTTTGAGACCAGCCTAGACAATATAATGGGACCTCGTCAGTACATCAAAAAAAAACCTTTAGATTTTTTTTTAATTAGCTGCACATGGTGGTGTGCACCTGCAGTCCTGGCTGCTCAGGAACCTAAGGCGGGAGGATTGCTTGAGCCTGGGAGGCAGACGTCACAGTAAGCTGAGGTCACCACTGCACTCCAGCCTGGGTGACAGAGCGAGACCGTGTCTCAAGGCACAAAAAAAAAGATTTGTTGGATGGATGGAAGAAAAGAAGAGTGCTTTCACTGGAAAAATTCAGACGAGTCACTCGTCTCTGAGCCACAATTTCCATATATACAAAATGGGAATAATGCCACAACTCCTAATGGGTTGTGAGGATTAAGCATTACTATGCATTTAAAATATGCAGAGAGTCCTTGATGCATAAAAAATATACATGCAAATGGGTCCCATGCCATTCCCTCTTTCCCCATCTTGCCCTCCAGTCTTCTTTCTTCCCCAGTGGAAGGAAGATTTTTCAATCCAGTGGGGTTGATGCGCCCTTAGCAGGAGAGCTAGAGTTCAAGCCTGAATGTCGCTAGTTTGAACTGTTGAACTTGGCTCAATCTTCCCAAGTTCACAAAGCTTTCCAACCCAATGAGCCCAAGATTCTGCCTCCATTGCTTGTGTTTCACTGGGATGGCCACCAGAGCTGCCATCTAGTGTGACCACCCAGTGTAAGCTCTGGGGACAGGGTGGCAGCAGTGACCTGAAGAGGTCACTTCTTGGGAGACCAAGACCACCAGTTCTCCCAAAAGCTGTGGTTCATTCAATGATTGCTCTTCAAGACTGGTTCCGTGCCAGCCCTGGCCAGCCATGCAGTGGAGAAACAGGCGCACACTAACTCAACACAACGTGACAAGTGCTGGAACAGAACTGTGCATGGCACCTGCGTCGTCAGAGCAGGGAGCGGGGAGCCATAAATCCTTCCTTCCCAGGGAAGCGGAGAAAGGAGGCCACAAGAAAGGAGGTGACATTTAGCTAGAGCATGACAGATGAGGAATTTGCCCAGGCAGGAAGGTGAAGAGGGTGTTCCAGATAGTGGGAACTTTATGAGCAAAGGCAGGGCGGCCTAGACAGGGAGGCAGCAGCAGGTGCAGGACAGGGAAGATGGGGGCGGAGTCTGAAAAAATATTAACCACCATTTATTAAGCATTTCTTTGGGCTGGGAACTTTTCTAAGGGTTATGTGTGAATTACACCATTTAATCCTCACACCTGTGTGATACTTTCTGAGTTTACAAACGGGTAAGCTGAAGCTTAGTGAAGCTCAGTGGAGCCGAGCACAGTGGCTCATTCCTGTAATCCCAGCACTTTGGGAGGCCAAGGTGGGCAGATCACAAGGTCAGGAGTTCAAGACCAGCTTGGCCGACATAGTGAAACCCTGTCTCTACTAAAAATACAAAAATTAGCTGGGTGTGGTAGCAGGCACCTGTAGTCCCAGCTACTCAGGAGGCTGAAGCAGGAGAATCCCTTGAACTCAGGAGGTGGAGGTTGTCCGAGATCATGCCACTGCACTCCAGCCTGGGTGACACAGCAAGACTCTGCCTCAAAAATAAAAAAAGAAGCAGCTCAGTGGGTTTCCCAAGCTAGTAAATGATAGACTTGCATTATTTTTCAACATTTTAATGGCAATTCTCAAATGTGTGTAAAAGGAGATAGGCTAATGGAATGAATCCTTATGTGCCCAGCACCTCATGGGCAGCCTTCAACTTGTGGCCAGTCATACTGCCTCTGGACCTGCAGTCCACTTCCAAAATTGCCAAAGCCCATGAGTCAGATGCTCCCAGGGCCCCTTCTCTTACATGGTATCCATGATGAGAAAGGCCAGATCTGGGGCACTGAATTGGGGAGGGCTAGGGAAGGGGCTGGGTTAACTGGGGCCATGAAGCAGGATAAGGAACCCAGGCTGCCAACAGATCTCTCAGATCTGGTTCTCAGATTAGAGAGGCCAGACTGAAGACTGCAGGGAGAAGGAGGACTGGAGGCCCCCAGCGGGAAGACAGGGCCCCCTTTGGCAGAGTTGGCTGTGAAGGGCAGACGGCAGCCTTCGGAGCTCTGGGCACTTCGTGCCCCTGTGTGCAGAACTGAGAGGGGCCATCAAAATGACAGAGGGTCAGGTGGCCTGACTCCTACAGAACAGGTGTGAAGGAGGTAGGAAGGGCGGAGAAGGGGGTGCCACCTGTCACCTCAGCCTGTGCTCCAACACAGCCACCATCCCCCTGCATCCTGACTGGCTTCCCCAGTGACAGGCTGAATCAGTGCCATGAGTTCCATTGTGTTCGTTCACTGTCCTCTCTGGCCGCCTGTGTGAAAAGGGAAGATGTGGGTAAGGAGTCCTCAACACTCCAGAGCCCCTCATCAGGCCCCTCGCCACACCCCCCAGCCCTCTAGGCTCAGCCTCTTAGGCAGAGACTCCTCGTCAGGCTCCAGGACTCTCAACTGGCCTTGGGATATGAAGGACAGAAAGATTCGACAGCCAAAGGCAGATGCCAGCCAGCCTTCCCAGTCCCCTCTGATAATCCAGGACTTGTCAGGGCCCAACAAACCACAACCCAAGGACCCCAGGACTCCTAAGGTCAGAATAGCTGGGAAGCTGGGGTGGACCCAGGACTCCTAAGGTCAGAATAGCTGGGAAGCTGGGGTCGACCCAGGACTCCTAAGGTCAGAATAGCTGGGAAGCTGGGGTCGACCCAGGACTCCTAAGGTCAGAATAGCTGGGAAGCTGGGGTGGACCCAGGACTCCTAAGGTCAGAATAGCTGGGAAGCTGGGGTGGACCCAGGACTCCTAAGGTCAGAATAGCTGGGAAGCTGGGGTGGAATCTAGAACAGAAACAGGCTGTTGAGACAAATGGCAAAAAAAAAAAAAAAAAAAAAAAAAACTGACGTAGCCAGGGACAGGACCTTGGCCTAGCTGGAGACAGAATCTTGGAATAGCTGGGGACCTTGGCCTAGTGGGGGACAAAATCTTAGAATAGCTGAGAACAGAATCTTGGGACAGCTGAGGACAGTTGTGGGCTACGTGGGGACAGGATCTTTGGGCAGCTGAGGGCAGAATTTGGGGGACAGAATCTTTGGGCAGCATGAGGCAGAATGTGGAGGCAGCTGGTACATTATTTTGGGAGTCAGACAAGAGATCCATGAGTCCACTGGGAGGCTGTAGTTTTGGGCATAGGGAAGCAAATCTCGGGATGCAATCAGGAGGTGGCTAGGACAAGGATGCTGACCCTGGGCCCCACGTCACACTGCACCCCCGTCTTCTGGAACAGACAACACCGCTGCAGTGCACACGCAGCACGTGGGTTTCAACCGGCAGGAGCAGGACGTGTTCTTCCTGCCCATCCTGGTGGTGGACAGCGGGCCGCCCACGCTGAGCAGCACGGGCACACTCACCATCCGCATCTGTGGCTGCGACAGCTCTGGTGCCATCCAGTCGTGCAACACCACGGCCTTTGTCATGGCTGCCTCCCTCAGCCCTGGTGCCCTCATCGCCCTCTTGGTCTGCGTTCTCATCCTGGTCGGTGAGTCCCTCGAGAGCCACCCACCCCTGCCTGATTGACCCCCATCCTGGGCTCCTGGGTTTCCTTCCTAACCAGCCCGCGTGGGGCCTCAGCTTCCCTCTCCACATGAGGATGGGCTGGTGGAACCATCTCCAAGCTCTAACACGCAGTCCCCTTGAGGAGTCTTCTAAGAGCAGAGTGGCCCCGCCACAAATTCCAGGACTGAGTTCACCGTGGGCCACCCCCTGCACAGCCCAAACCCCACCCTAATTTTTAAAAACCAATCATATTTTTAAAAATTCTCTCATGTGAACGGTCCTTTTTTATTCTCTATGTAGGACTTTTAGTAAAAGGGCTATTGTGAACCTCACAATTGTATGACCAGGCATATTATCCCATTTTTCAGATGAAAACACTGAGGCCCAGAAAAGTTAGGTGGCTGGTATAAGGGTACCAGATAGCCTTCAGATTTGATATTAGGTCTTCTCACTCTGTGTCCTCTGCTCCTCTAACTACTACCTGCTATGAATCTAAACTGAAAGCAAAATCTCAAGTCATTGGCGGTGGGGGGCAAAATCCACACTGATACCAGCCCACTAGCAGCCATTTGAACCCCAAAGTGTCCCCAATGAAGAGGTCAAGTTTCAGAAGCTAACCTGGATTTGAGTGGCCATGTGCCACCTGTCACACCTATGGCCACCCAAGTACAGAAGGGCACTGAGGCCAAAGCTCGAGGAGCTCAAGGGAGGTCCAAGTGTAGATTCCAGCTTTGCTGTGCTCCCTGGGAGACGTCAGCAGCCTCCCCCGCCCTCCCTGCCTAGAACCGGCATGGCCTCTGTCCACCCTCTGAGGACATGCCCATGGCCAGGCTGTACCTCCTCAGGCCCCTGAAGGGCCCTAGGCAGGCTCCTCCTAGTTGGGAGCCCCCGCTTTCTCTCCCCATCCCAGCTCGTGGCTCAGAAACCCTTTTTCCAGAGGGTGCACTTTACAGCGGTTTCATTTTCTGAGGCAGTGCAAACAAATTTCTGCCTAATTGCCCACAAACGAAGAAAGTGCACATCAGTGCTCTAAAGGTGACAGGCGGAATCGCTGATCAGGCCTGGCACATCTGTCGCCCGCCACCCACAAACCTCACCATCTGCTCCCGCGGGCTTCCCCCTCCATAGCTCCCAGCCTCCGCTCCGAAAGCCATCCATCCATCTTTCCATTCTCTCCTGACACCTTCCGTCCCTGTGGCCTCCCTCCGGGCCTGTCCCCAGATCCCGTGCTCTTCCCTATCACAAGCCACCTTGTTAGGTGGTGAGCAGGTGCCCTGCTCCATGGCCCTTGCAGCCAGCTCTGGCCACTGGAGCTGTTTGGAGAAGCAAAAAGAATCCAGTACCTAGCACAGTACCTGGTACATGTCTGTCCATCTGTCTGTCTATCCATCCATCATCATTTACCTATACATCCATTGAGTCCCTCCCATGTGCTAGACCCTGAGATTTAGCAGTCAACAGAAGAGACCTAAAAGCTCCGAGTAACTGAAAAGTTGGGGATCCTAACACTGAGAAAGGGGAGACTCAGGGTGGGGAAGGGGAAAAAAATTAGTATTTCACCTTTGAACATGTTAAATTTGAGATTCTCTTGGTCAACAAGAGGACATGTTGAGTAGGAAATGGAATGTATGATCTAGATTTCAGGGAAGAGGTCCAGTCTGGAGGCTGAGATATGGGAATTGTCAGTTTCTAAACGGAACTTTTAAAGCCGTAATAAGACTGAAGGAGAGCTCCAAGAGAGGGAGCATGGATACGGAACCAGGGTCTGAGTCCTAGGACATCTGAATTAAGAGAGGCAAGGAAAAGCCTGCTTAGAAGAGGGAGAATGAGTGTTCAGTCAAGTGGGAGGTGGAGGAGGAGAGTGTGGAGTCCTAGAAATCAGGTGAAGAAAGCCAGGACGGGACAATCATTCATTCACTTACCCATGTCTCCATCCAACTCTTTCTTCAGTCATTCATTCATTCAACAAGCATGCTTCAAGTGCTCACTGCATGCCAGGCACCAAGCCAGGGGAACATTTCCCAGGTCCTCAAGGGTAGCTTAGGGTTTGCGTTTTAGGGTGGAGACAGGCGTGGTAAAACAGCAAAGTCTGGTCTGTGACAGAGCTGTGGCTTTCAAACTTGAGGGGCCTCTTCTTGTCTGAGGGTCTTGTTAAAACACACATCCCCCTCCACTGCCACAAGATTCGTGGGAGGATCCAAGGGTCTGCATTTCTAACAAGCTCCAAGGGGATACTGCTTTTGCCCAGGGGCCGCACTTTGAGAACCAGTATGATAGAGGAAGGAGCCCCTTCCTGGGGAATCTTGGAGGGGAAGGCATGGAACCTGGCCCGCAGCTCTCAGGGTTCCTGCAGACCTTGACCTGAGAACCAAAGGGCTGAGTAGGAGCTCAGGACTTCTGGTGTGGACAGAGGAGGGTGAAGTGAAAGAGAGGTCAAGTGAAGGACATCTTTCACACCCCCTCCCCAGCTCCATCTGTTTCTCAGCTGCCTGCTTCACATCCCCAGCATCTAGAGTCCTCAGAGAATGTATCTCTTCATAGAGCTGAGAAGGGAGACCTCGGGCCTCCACACCCAGGAAAACCTTTAACACTGCTCTCCCGTTGGCTACCTCCACCCCAGAGGTAATCTAGCCTTGACTTGCATACCTCCCGAGATGGGTAGCTCACTACCTCTCCAGACACTCAGCTCAGTTCTGACTGTAAGAATGGCTTTTTGAACAGAATTCTAAGAAATCTGTAGGAGGGTTGAGGCTGGGCCCACTCTGCTGGTAGAAGGCGGGAGGAGACGGGGTAGAGGGTCCTCCTAACGCCCTGGGAGGGGCTTGGCCCTCAGTCACCCTCTCTGTCCCCCTCGCAGTGCTGGTGCTGCTGATCCTCACCCTCAGGCGCCACCACAAGAGCCACCTGAGCTCAGACGAGGATGAGGACATGCGGGACAACGTCATCAAATACAACGACGAAGGCGGCGGCGAGCAGGACACGGAAGCCTACGACATGTCGGCGCTGCGGAGCCTCTACGACTTCGGCGAGCTCAAGGGCGGCGACGGGGGCGGCGGCGCGGGAGGGGGCGCGGGCGGCGGCGCTGACGGGGGCGCGGGCGGGGGCGCGGGCAGCCCCCCGCAGGCCCACCTGCCCTCCGAGCGCCACTCGCTGCCGCAGGGGCCGCCGAGCCCGGAGCCGGACTTCTCGGTGTTCAGGGACTTCATCAGCCGCAAGGTGGCGCTGGCGGACGGGGACCTGTCGGTGCCGCCCTACGACGCCTTCCAGACCTACGCCTTCGAGGGCGCGGACTCGCCGGCCGCCTCGCTCAGCTCGCTGCACAGCGGCTCGTCAGGCTCCGAGCAGGACTTCGCCTATCTCAGCAGCTGGGGTCCGCGCTTCCGGCCCCTGGCCGCGCTCTACGCCGGCCACCGCGGGGACGACGAGGCCCAGGCCTCCTAGCCCCGCGCCTTGCCGTCGGGGCGCGGCTGCTCCCCCGCCCAGCACCCGCCGGGGTCCCAGGACGAAGCGTTTCCCCCGCGGACCCGCTGCCCCGCCCTCCGCTCACCCTCCCTCGGCGGCCGGACGGAGGGCAACTTGCGAGGGGCGGACTCCCCCACTCCTCCTCCGCTAGAGGTGCAGCTTAGCAGCCCGGAGCTGCGGGATTCTGACCAACGTCATTAAAACTGAGGCGAGACCGGGCACGGTGTGGCTCTGGGGTTAGAACGGGAGATGGGGGTGGCGTTGCCGAGTCGGGAAGGGGCGGGTTACTCAATCCTGGCCTGGAGGAGAATGCTGGAGCGAGCACGCCGCTGAGATGCCCCCGCCTCAGGTTTCCCCCATCAGAGTTAAGAGGAAGGAAGGCTGTTCATTTACTAAGCACCTACTGTGTGCTGGGACGCTGTACAGAGACCAGCTCAGTCATCATAGAAACCATGAGGTGGGGTCGTGCACGAAATAGAAGGGGAAATGACCCCAGAGAAGTGGCTGTGACCCATCCCAGGGCCCCTGGCCAGTGAATGGTGGAGCCTCCGGCACTGACCAGCTGCCTGGCCTCGGGCAAGTCACTTCACTTCTCTGGGCGTCAGTTTCCTCATCTGTCAAATGGGGTTAATAACAGAACCTACCTCGAAGAGTTGTGAGGCTAAAAAGGGTTCGTATGTGTCAAATGGTTAGGACAGTGCCTGGCACATAGTAGGTGTTCAATAAATGCTAGCCTTTGTTACTGTTCTTATCTTTGTGGTTCTTAGAAGCCCAGTGTGTCTGCCTCTAAGGTCTGACCTCTCTCCCTTGCTGCATATGCCCTTGCCCTTTTCCCAACATCTCCAAGGGGAGAGGGAAAGGTTGCAACAGTCAGCTCTTGATCCTGCCCTGCATGGGTATAAGGACACCCCCAGCAACTGTGGAGCCTTTGGGAGTCTCAATCACACTGAAATACCAGCAGTACCAAGCAAGAACAAGCTGGGTGACTCCAGGACTTGCATGGATGCAAGGACTGGCGGGAGGCAGAGGGGTCAGAAGCCACTGGGCAAGGGCCAGGGGGTGGGGGCCTTATCCGTTTGACTTTGGAATCCATCAGTCTCCCCACTCATGGATCCCAAATTAAGAACCCCTGGTCTAAGTCACCTGAAGAGTTTACAGCTCTAAAACTATATGATTATAAAATACAGGTTATTTGTCCTCCCACCTCCCCCCATGCCCAAGTGATTCATTCATTCCACATTAATCCAACGTGAATTCCAGCTCCTGCTAGCTGGGCATCCTTCAGCAGGGTCCTCCACTGCTGAAGCCTCAGTTTCCTTATCTGTAAAATGGGGGTAATGATAGTCTCTTCCTTAAAGGATTGTTAAAAGTCTTAAAGCAGATAGTGGGTGTTAAGCTCTGAACATAGTGCCTTCCTGATATGTGGATAGTGCCCAATAAAGGTTTATTAGCCTTATTTTCCTTACCCTCCCAGGGAGCGCTCATTCATTCCCTCCACATTTGCCAAGATCTAGAGACAGCCAGTAAGTTCTAATGCCTTACCCACATTATTTTTCTCATTTAGATACTGTCAGCCCCAGTTCACAGATGAGGAAACTGAGGCTGAGTGAGTAGTAAACTGCCCAGAGTTACACAGTTGATAGGTATTTCCTCCCTTCCAATAGCTCAAGACCTAAGTTGGAGGAAGGAAGTGGATCAGGGAGCGGAAGCAGCCAAAAATAATGTGTTTGCTAAGAGTTGTAGCAGCGTTACCAGAAAAAGATGCTGGAAGCACTGAAGAAAGACTGAGTAATCCTGGAGGGCTTCCCAGAGGAAGTAACTTCAACCAGGTCTTGAAGAATGAGTATAGGATGTGAGGTGGCCAAGCGAGCAAGAGTATTCCAAGCAGATCTGCAAAAGCTGGAGGGGGGAGAGGAGGCAAGAAGCATGTGGCAGCTTCAGGAAGGATGTGTGGCCTGGGGGCTGGATCACAGGGTGGAGGAGTGCTGGGAGGTGAGGCAGGGAAGGCTGGTTAGAGGTAGTTTGAGAAGAACTTGAAGGCCAGGTTAAGGAACATGATAGCTTGCTCAACTTGAACCTCCCTTCTAAAGTCCATTGATAGTGGCCAGTGGCAGGGATGTGGTATTAGTATGGTAAACCCAAGTGGAGGGATATTTGGGAACCCCCAGATCATCCCATGTGGGACCCTTACCCCATGGTTCCTATAGCTCATGCTACAAATGGGCATGGTAACTTGGGGACCACTGGGGAGATGCCCTCTCTCCCCTGCATGCCCAGCTCTCTCATACAGAACCCAACAGCACTTCTGAGGTTGGTTGCCAGCTCCATTGCAGAAGGGGGAAACTGACACCCAGAGGACTAAAGTGACTGGTTCAAGGTCTCCCAGCTAGTATGGGACAGAGCAGGGACAGCACAGGTCCCCCGGCTCCAAGTCTACCCCTTCCGCATGCACGGGTTGCCTTAGCAGATACTGACCCTGACAAGAAGGAGGTTACAGGCAGGTCACATGTCCACAGGGACACATGGACATGAAGTCACAGGTCCCTTGAACATCTGTCTAAACCTCACACATGGAGAAGGACTTACCTAAGGTCACCCAGAGTCAAAGATCTTGCCAGAAATAAAGAACATTATTTATCCAGATTCGCCTTCCAAGCCTTTGGCTCTGCTCTTTACCCACTGTGTGACTTTTTCCTTCCTCCCTCCCTTCCTCCCTCCCTTCCTTTCTCTTTCTTTCTTTCCTTTCTTTCCTTCTTCCTTCCTTCCCTTCCTTCCCTTCCTTCCTTCCCTCCCTTCCTTCCCTCCCTCCCTCCTTTCTTTCTTTCTTTTTCTACCAACCTTCCTTTCTTCCTTTCTTTCTTTCTTTTTCTTTCTTTAGGGTCTTACTCTGTTGCCCAGCTGCAGCACAGTGGCACGATCATGGCTCACTGCAGCCTCAATGTACCAGGCCCTACTGATCCTCCCACCCCAGTTCCCCAAGTAGTTGGGACACGAACATGCACCACCACACCTAGCTAATTTTTTGTAGAGATGGATTCTTGCTATGTTGCCCAGGCTGGTCTCAAACTCCTAGGCTCAAGTGATCCTCCTGCTTTGGCCTCCCAAAGTGCTGGGATTACAAGCATGAGCCACCAGGCCCAGCCACTGTGTGACTTCAGACAGTTATTTACCTTTGGTGTGCCTCCATTTTCTTATCCATAAGGTGCATATGCTCAGACCACCTGCTTCATAGGGTTGCAATAAGGATAAAACCCAATAGCAACAGCTGACACTGAGCACTTCACATAAATTAACGCATTTAATCCCACAACGACGCAATGAGGTAGCCCCTGTTTTACAGGTGAGAAAACTGAGGCACAAGGAGATTAAGCAACTTGTACAAGATCAAAGACTAGTAGTGGAGATGCTGAGACTTCAACCCGGGTACTCTGGCCCCCAGGACCTACCCCGTCAGCAGCACACACAGTGTCCGACACACAAGAAGCCCCAAAAGTCCCTGCGGTCTGTGCTCTGGGGAGCTTGTTCCTCTAGTCACCACCACATTCCACAGCCTGCAGGCGTCCTCAAGCCTCCCCCTGATTTCTGCTAGTTCCAGAGTAGGGTGTGGAGGAAAAGGTAACGGTCTTCTATCCTCTTTGCTTCCAGCTCCCGCAACCACACGTGCTACCTCCACTGGGTGCTGAGCCAGCCCAGAGTGAAATCCAGTGAGTCCTGCCCTTTCACTGAGTTGTACAAGGTGTCTATTCTTGCCAAGCATGTGTGAGATTTTCTGATGACCTGGGGTCACGGAGGAGGGTATTATGGGACACACAGATTTTGGTGAGCTGTCTCATTGATTCCCACAGGTTCCCCAAGAGTTCCAAATCCTCTCCCTGTGTTAGGCAGAAAATACAGCCATGCCAGCTCCAGGCTCCAAATGAGCAAGCCCAGCTCTATTGAGGAGCTTAGAAAATAAAGAGCCTTCCATTTACTATGCCTGCCCTCCTTACAAGGCATCTAGGAAGATGAAAAGAAAAATATTCCCCTTTTATTGTCATCATCACCATCCCCATCATTATCAAGGGATAAAAGAGTATTCAGGGTCTTGAGCAAGAATTGATGTGTAATTGGCCAAGGATTTCAGAAGCAGGGATATTAATGACAATGACGATGGTAGTGATGACAGTGACAGCACACTTACATAGCATTGCGGCATGCCAGGCCCTGTTCTCAGCAGCGAACATAATTAATACTAAGACAGGTAAATCTCACGGAGAATGGACGCTGTGTTTACTGTGTTTAGTGCTTTTACGTAATTTGCCTTGTTTAATTTTACGCAGGCCTTTATGCTTTCATTAGGCCTATTTTATGAGGATGAGATGAGAAACCCAGGGCTCACAGATGAACTACACTTTGCCCAAGGGCACAAAGCCTTTAAAGGCTTGAAATCACTTTACACCCCCACCCACCATGGCTCTGCATAGGGCCTAGATGACTCGGTTCTGAGTGGAGTTTCCTGAAGGACAGAGAAGCATGTTGGTGAGAAAGGGGAGCACTCCAGGGGGATGGCAGAGCTGGGAGCAAGATGGACAGAGAGGCCTAGCTGGCTGGCCACTGTCCAAACCTGGGTCTATGTCTCTGGTGTGTACCAATGTGTGTGTGTCCACACGTGGCTGTGGACAAGCACCAGGGAGGTGGGAAGCCAGCATTGAGCAGCACAGGTCAAGAACTAACCTCCCACCTCCTGATTCAAGCAGCTTAGAGAGCCAGTTGCTGTCATAGAGGGCGTCTAAGCGCCTGCATCCGTCAGCCAGCCGTCATCACAGCCCATCTCCGGGTCACGAATCAGCAGCTCCACTCACCTCCTGCCAGCAAGCACTCCCAGGCCAGCTCTGTCACTGGTCGCTGAGCCTTTGGAAAATGCAACCCTGTCAGCCCTCACTCTGAGGCAAGATGGCTCATGTTCCAGTGTGTGCATGAGCATGCCAGCACATGATGCATGCACACGTTGTACCCACAGACATGTTTGCACCTGTGGGTGTAACACAGACAGTTCACAGCTATCCACACAGAGCGTATCCCTGCAGGTCTGCAGACATGGACACATGCCAGCATGCTATGCATGCGCGGGAGGCAAGCTCTCATGTGTGCACTCGTGTTCATCCTCAGAGCACACACATGCCTACCGTAGATAACTTCTCTTACATGCATGTGCCTGTGTGTCCACTGGTACTCTTCAATAAGCAATATATTTTCCCATTCAGGCATATACTCATACACATTGACCAACATAGGTGTGTCCCCAGAAACTCCCATGCAAATACACAGCACATATATGTGTATACCCTCAGATGTTCTTCTGTGCATGAGCATACAGCACCATGCACTCATTCTCAGTCATATGCACATTTGTATGCATGCACAGGAAAGCAAACGAAACCTCAGGAGCAGTCCATTACAAACTCCAAATTCACGTGCATGGTTCCATAGATGTGTTTGTACATATGAGCACAGGTCTGTGTGTATGAACGCAATCTACATGATCACCTACAAGCACGTAAACAAACAGCCATCCTCCAACAAATGCTCAGATCTGCACCAAGCACTCATGCACAGGCAGTGGTATACGTGCATCTGCCTGTCTCCATGTAGGTACCTCAACTTCCAGACAACGTGTCCTCAGGCGCTTAATCACCTCTATCCATGTGTACCTTTAGGCAGGCCCAGCACCGTTCACCCACAGCCATGCCCCATGTGCCTAACTCAAC